TGCTTAAAAAATTGTCGTTATTTGATCAAAAAAAAGGGAGTACTTCAGGAACTTGTAGTTTTCTCCACCCGCAACAAATTTTTGTGATTTGTACTCGAAAGCCCATCTCCCGCAGATTCAGAAAAATGGTGAACTAGCCCAATTAAAAAAGTTTATTCAAAATCAAAAAAAAAAAAAAGAAAAATTCCAGACGTTTTTTCTCATAAAACTACATTTCAAACTTTTTAATTCGGTATATTTTTTGAAGATGTAATTTTTGCATAACATATAAAAATTAAAAACTGATATTTCTCCGGTATCCATAGTTAAAGCACGATTGCTGACAGAAGACCGCAAGAAATCTTCATTTGATGTAGCATTTTAGCGCTTTGGCTAGTGGCAAAAGACCTGTTTCTACTGAATGTTATTAAATATAATATATATAATTTTTTGAAGCTTTTTTCAATTCATTTAATTTTATAACAGGCGAGTAAATTTAGACCTTAAAATTATAATCAACCTAAAAGTTTTTTGGAAAAAAAATTATTAATAATAATATTATTATTTTTCAATTTAGTTCTTCCTTGAACTGTTCTGACCGAAATATTTCACTCACGGTGCTGATTCCTGAGTGTGGATATTGTTTCGCGTTTATTGTCCCAGACCTGTACGACGGAAACAATGAAACTTCTTCGGACCTCTCGTATAATAAAATTTTGATGGGGATATTAAAAGGTTTGATCACAACAGACATGGTTGGAGAAAGGCTTGTGGTGGAGATCTAACGAAAACTAGTAACTGTTCATGAGGCAAAATGGGGAAGGAAGCATGACGGAAATGACAATGAACAACAGCTGGGTCCTCATAAGTTCTTTAGTTAGCTCAAACTGCGGGTGGTGAAAATTAAAAATGGGTAGTGAATCATTTGACAAAAACATCCGTAATGTTCACATCGGTAAAAGAGTATAGTACAGAAATGGCTCTCTCCTAGCACCACTTTTTCGAGTAAGCTCGCCAACCGAAGGCACACAACACTTTTACTACATTATAACACAGAAGGCTGAGACAATAAATGCAAAACAGTACTTGCGCTCGACAACCAGCATTGTGGTGAAATATTCAAGTCAGAAGAGTTCATTAAGCAAATGGTGTCAATCGAGAAATAATCATAGTAACAATTTTTTTCTGGAAGAACTTCTTTAAATTAATTAAAAGTTAAAAATTTGCAACTACCTGCCTGTTACTGAAGTAGTAAAAGTGAAATTTTCTCAGTAAACTATATATTTTTATACTTAACAACATTTTAGTTGGAACAGGTGCCCTGTAACTCATTGAAGTGCCAAAATGCAGCGAAAATTAGATTTTCGCAGTCCGCTGCCGCTAATCGCGCCCCAATTCGTGATACCACAAAAATATCACATTGCAATTTTAATATGCTGTGTACAAATTATGCTTTCAAAAATTCTATTTTTTTAGAAAGTTTAATAAACCGATTGTTTAAAAAAAATGTTTTTAATTTTCTTCATTTCGATTCTGTAAAAAATCTGTAATTATATTTATTTCACCACTTTTCTGAATCTTTCTGAATCAGACAGACGTCAAAGAAAAAGTAAACAAAGAAGAAAAAAGATTCCTAAATTTAGCCGTTTTGAGCAACTGTGTTATTTCGCACTTCAGAACGGACTAACTCTGCTGCCAGCACACTTTTTCAACTATATTCCTTTGATTTGACAATCAAGTATCAGGTGCTACAAGCAAGCATAAAATAAAAAAGCCTGAGACGCCATCTGGAAAAGTGTGCCACTTGGCGTCGAATGGCCCATATACATATGTATCCGATATGCATAACGCAGTGGTTACCTGAAGCAAATTCAAGCCTGCTATTTCTGCTGCCTTCACCATCGCTCTTCTTTCAGCTTGGTTGAAGAAAGCAGGTACTGTAATAACAACATCCTCGATAGTTTGTTCAGCAAAGTCTTCGGCTAATTTACGAGCATGATTCAGAATCATAGCCACCAAGGTCTCAACACCGTACTTCTCCTCATTACTAAACGAAAGTCATTGAAAGTTACTCTGAATTTTCTGAAAGAAACTAAAGAAATGTCTGGATTTGAACTTATTACATGACAAATTGAACTGTTTTGCGAGCATCGTCGGGAACTATCTTTACAAAAGGGAAGCGAGACTGATAAAGTGCCACTATCGGGTTATTTACATTCTTCCCCAATAAATCTATTAGATGAGCGTACGAATTCTTTGGATTTTTAACAGCCTATAACAAGCAATGAAAGTATAGCATCACTTATCAACACATAAAAGACATCAAAGTGAATAGAAAGTGCTATCAATTATTCAATGTCAAAAGATAGTGTGGACCGGTCAAGCTTCTTTTTTACTGTTTCAGAAAAATCATACAATTAGGCATCTTTGCGCTGTAAACAGGTATCTTTATAGACCTCTGTCACTCAACTTTTCAGTCGCACAGCATGTAAAACTTGTGCCTTGTGCGGAAAGTGAATTGTGAACTACGAAGTTTTCAAACTACCAACTGCAGATATTAGCTAAAAGTCACTTTAAAATACCATTCAAAACGAAGAAAGACTTTTACTTCCCCTACGACTGGCCCATTACCTTTGAAAGAGTAACAATTGTAAATGAACAGTATAGCAGTAAAGTTCACTTTCTTCCTCAGCAAAACTTAATTTCGAATTAAATACTCACAAGTTATCAGTAGTAACAATTAACAATTATTAGGCAAAGCCTTTAAAACATTTAGAGAGTTCTCAAAAGTAACAAAACCTACATAAAATGACTTCAGTAAAAAAATCTTCACTAGTAGGAAAGTACAAGCACTCGAGCAATCTAATTTGAGGCCCACAGCAAAACTTAGGAGTAAGATCAATGTTTTCTCACCTGGAACAACCAAGATAGTAAAACGTAAACCTAAGGGATGTATTTGACTAGTTAACCATATAAGGAAACAATCTTTCCATATAACGAGAAGTAAAGCTTTAAATTTTTTTAATAAGCATAAATGATTTCAGCGTCAAAAAACAAGAGGTAAGCAAGCTTGACCCCTTGTGATATAGATATCTAAACTTCGTATGCAACTTTAAGAAAAAGATGAGATCAAAGTGACGTAGCAATAACTGCCAGGATAGAGGCTTACGAAAGACAAAGCTGCGTCGCCGAAAAACCTTTCGTCGCTTTTGAGACCAATTAAATTTGGTGTTTTCCTTCTAGATTCCCTATTTAAAACTATCTCCATAGGTACACCAGGCTTGACCAAAGCAACTTTTAAGAATTGAGACCCGAAATCAATTGAAATAGCAGCCAACAATGCCTCTAAATGAAGAAATTTAAATTCATTGTTACTTCTAAAAAAGTAGTCTTAATTAAAAGAAATTCATCTCAGTAATATCGCTTGACTTCGAAAATGCGTATAGTAGAAGCTTCCTGAGAGTTTCAATTTAACGTACAGTAAAAAGACGGGAAAAACCAACCTGAGTAAGGAAGTATTACGAACCACAACAATAAGATAACAACAGAACCAAATATATTGACCCACATCATACCGAAACAGCAAATACAAAAACCCTAAAATGCTGATAGCTTTAAGTAAAAAGAATTACATGAAAATAATAGCAAAAAAACCATCGCTGTACACAATAGGACCGGTATGAGTAAAGTCTAAAATATATTAGGTGGTCCTGTAAAACGATTTTTTTCTGAAGAGTAGAACTTTAGGATTAAAAAGAATAGACCTCGTTAGAGACCGGCAAATCCCCGAATTTTACGAAACTAACTTAAATTCGGGAGTTCCTAATACCAGCAATTTGTTTTAAAAACCTATAGCTTCACAGAAAATCAAGCCAAGAGACTGAGAAGGCTGACTGAATGGACAATTCGACTGGACCTTTCCTTCACAATACCCGAGGTCAAAAAACTTTACATTCCTCATCTAAATGACTTGAAAGTTACTGGCCAAGTCCATTTACGCGCTGTATTTGGCGTTCCTCATCTAGAAGTTTATGGTATACACATAAAAAACTAATCAGCCATGACTTAGAGAAAATAGATTAGAGAAAACAAGAAAGAAGAACTGTCTTTAACGAAGGCCTTCATAATTATAAATCCCTCAATAAAATATAAAAATCGGTACCGGGAACTGACGGAGCTCAAAATTTAAATTAGTGCAGTTGGCACAATTCCAAAAGTTCGTGCACTCAGACACTGCACAACACTAGTCTACGAGCCTGGTGTCTGTTGTTGGTGGCTCGTCGCAAGCTATATATATATATATAATATCATAGGTGCTAACATGTGAAGATTCGCAGGTCGGTACCTATGATACAGGGAGCTTACCAAAGTGCGGATTTCTGCGGACGTTTATTACAAAGCCTAGGCAATTAAGCTGTCGACCTCAAAACATCCGGTGTTGATATCGTGCCTGTGCTACCCTAGTGCACAAAGGAATGATGACGTTTACCAAAAGTATTTTTTTACAACACTAAATGAGGTCTGTCAATAGACCGCGTGCAACAGAACGCCCACTACCACCCTGATATAAACCATATAGGGATTTCTGAAGATTTAAGAGAATGCTCTGTCACTATAAAACACTCTCCCTGAAATTTGAGGCGTATGAATTCCGAAGTTTAAAAAACGGTACTTAACTACCCGGTTTAAAAAAAAAAAACAAGGTCCATCTTGCTTAGACATAACGTATCATTATTCAGAAAAGAAAAACAAAAAAGTGCATATCGCACCAAATGTAAAGCAGTTTCGCCAGCAGTCAGTCTCCTAAAGATTGAACGGAAGATCCAAGAAGACGAAACTTGTACCTAACAACGAACAAATTCTGTCGGCAGCAACAGATCGCCTTGGTCAGTAACTGACGTCAGCTAAAAAGTTGAAATTCATTAGTTCCTGCAATTTGAATAATTTTAAATTGGCCGCTTTGTTACAGCCCTTTGTCACTAAGCAATTGCAGCACTCTACCACTGACAAGTTTTTGTTCCTCATATGACGCTGCCAAAACCCAAAAGAAGCAGCCCTGTTGGTGATAGATTTTGTAGAGGAATTCTTTTTTTGGATACTTTTGTGACTGAGGTTCAATTTGCAGTTCGTACTGTTCCGAAATCCAAAAAATACGTTACAGATATCCCTCAGAAAATGTTTGCTTCCTTTTTTTTGCGCTGTGTCATTTTATAGCGAAACAGCTGTAATCCTAACCTTTAAAAATAGCTGACGGAAATGTTCCTCAATTCTCCTTGCCCTATTAGCTGTCTTAATTTAGATGATTTTAGCAGACCTTTATGCTCTATTCTGAAGCCCTTGTTCTTTATTTCCTTGAACTGAAAAGATAGCCTCATATTGAGCAGCTGGCCACATTACTCAAATGGTAATACAGAAGTGAAAATTCCGAGAACTTTTGTTAGGTCGACAAGTATTCATAAAAGACTTCTATCCAAACTAAAGTCTTATGATTTTTCAGAACAATTCTTTATGTAAACAGAAAAACTTCTTTAGAACTGAACCTTCACGGTTTTCAGACTTTCCTTACTTCTTTTTGCCAGTAACCTCGCTTTTAAGTGACACTTCCTAACCCCAGGCTTGAAATTTTTGATGAAAGTATTAACGTCTGCGGCATGAACCCCATGTGCTATGGAGCAGTCACAAGCGCCTTGGCTCTTCGGTGTATAAAAAGAAAAAAAAAAACAAGAAAAAATTTGGGCCTTCGTTTTGAAGCCCTTCGACTTCCGCAAATACTAGGAGATACTACGAAGAATAGTGAGTTTCTTTGGCTCAGTGAACGTGAATTTGAATAAAAAAGTAGTTATTGACGAATACTTGAAGAGAGAGCCAGAAAAACAGTTTGGCAAGTGGACAGCGACCAAAGTTTTCAAAACTATGTGGTGAGCCAAAGAAGAGTATAGAAAAATTGGCATAGGCTCTGTTGCGTCAAACGAACACTCCCGAGCAGGAGAGAAAGGAGGAGACATTTCAGGACGAGTTCCCGAAGCTGGGAAGGCGGAAAGAAATCAAAGCGAACCTGACGCTTCTGCGGGGAAGCAGCTTCGGATTTAAACAATACAGCTAAAGCGAAGCTCGAGCTGGCGGGGTTCGACCTAAGAGGGATATCAACCCCGCCCAGATTAGAACAACTATATAACCAGGAGAGGAAGAAAATGGAGGACGAGTTTTATTCATATTTTGTGATCAACGATACTTACCCTTTGTATGTTTCTAACGTGTTCAAGGTTGCATATAACCTTTTAACTTGTACACCTTGTTTTATGATTTCATTTTATGTTTTGCATATAACTCTCTAACTTATAAGCTTTGTTTTATGATTTCATTTCTAAAATGGGTTTAATTACCCAAGTTTGAGGTCTCGTTGTATCAAATTCGCTTCTTGAAATAAAGCTATTAAAACTGAAGTCCCACGTGGCAGCATAACTATCCAGGGCAACAAGGAGAAATCGAGAGGTCCACAAGGAAGAAAGAAAAGATTTATCTACCAAATTATTTATAGGCTCTACGTCGGTAGTGTTTTAAATCTGTAGACGGAGGTGAATCAGTAGAACTGTGCAGCCTTATTGTAAACCGTCTCCTTCTGACTACTGTGACTGTGAGACTCATGAGAATGAAGATGAGTCTTGCAGGTTTAGAATTTCACGTATTACAGTTGGCTGTTGGTCAGCACCTGCACGCCTGAACGGGCGAAAGCCACTGACCACCAACTACGACAGCTTTCTGAAATCAATATTCTATCCTACATTCCTTTAAGCGAATCAGTTTGATTTCTTGAGCTAATGAAGAATGTAAAAATATTTTAATTTAAAATATACCTTCGGCTTGTAATTCTGAAAAAAAAAAACGATATTCTTGCACACTAGCTCTGGGAGTCAAAACTGCAGCTGAGGAGTATTGTTGCAACTATGCGCAAAACGGCTTACTTGGGTCAGCAAACAATGGTTCCTCAATTCATGAAAGACCTTGTAAGGGAAACAAGTTATCACGCCAGTAGCGGATCTTTATGCTTTATACCTCAAAACTAGTTATTTAGGCAACGGTTGTCAGTACTTGAAAAAAAAGATAAAGCCGACTTCTAAAATCATCGAATAATTCAGTCTTATCCTGAACCATCATCGTTATCAATGCTTGAGTCTTTCCTTTCATTGTACATGCCCATTTAAACTTCCCAATTTCAGTTATCCTTGGTTCACTTGTGTTATTCAATTCAATGTGAATAGTTCTTCTTTAACATTTTGCTATACTACTGTGTCAGAAAAAATTTTCGACCGTTTCATCAAGTAATATCGTTAGTGCTCTAGTCATTCCTTCAAATAAAAGACCATTCATAGCAATGACCATCCGCTTTTGAATTTCTATTGAGTTAATATGTCAAAGTAGGTAACTAAGATAAGGGTTAATCAATCAAAGTTTACCAGGAGGCTTCTCAAAGAATCATGAAGCAATGAAGTTTTAAGAACTATCGTCGAGTTCTCTAGACCTTAAAGCTATTTGTCAGCCTGTATCAACGTCGTGTTAAACTGAAGATCGTGTAAGACGTTTCAAAAGGACTGATACTGTGGTCATCTTCAAAGGCAAATAAGGATAAACGGTACGAAAAAGATGTCCGCAAAAGTTATTTTTGCCAAACGCTCTTCGAATCATTTAAGAAAGCTGGTCAAAAATCCGGCATTAAGCGCAACAAGAGGAACCGTGAGGGAAGGCCACTACGTCCTTTCTCTCGGCTCTGAATGGCCGATGTTCATGCTATTAAAGCCTTCAATTGCCTACTTTTTTATTCCCTTGGTTTTGATAGGAGATGTGCTAGAATTTTTCTACCTGTTTTCAAAATAAGATTTATTCTGATACACTTCTGCAGAAAATAAACTGACGGCAAGCAGATATGGGCAAAGGTTCATTAGTAGGTTGTTGTAACTGCTAAAAATCTCCCTTTAATTCGATGCAGAAATTAAAGGTAAAATAATGCAAACCGGCCTGCTTTTGCTCTTTCAGTGCATGCATCCAAACTGCAGCTTTTGCTGAGCTGGGCATTTGGTAAATGAACCGTTAATTCACTGGCATAAAAACGCTCCACGTCCTCCCCCATCGCGTAGAAGTTTATGGTCTCAAATTGCCAACTAGCTTATTTGTCCATCACATTCGTTACTGGTTTGACAGTGCACAACAGCTTACATACATTCTTCCTATGTCTCCATAAGGTGCGGTTATTAATCTCTCTGCCACTTCCTCTAACGTCACGAACCCGTCGACACCTGAACAGTTACATCCATTCAAGGGCTTACTTAGCAGTTTTAACTGAGTTATGCCGCATGTCAGCAGGCGAAGCGGTGAAGTGATGCTTGACTGATGCTAGCTCGTGCGAGATTCTACCACGCACTGCCCTGTTTGGGATGATGACTCCATTTGCTCCAAAGCGGGCAGGGATTCTTTGGGGTCTTTGCTCGCCACGATGGAGGAAATGTGGAGCTACCAGTCTAAATGAGATGCGACGATATTGGTATCACAGAGGGCATTTCAGGCACTGATAAAGATGCAGCATACCGGAAAACAGTTGCTAAGGAGAAATTGGGACGCTACGCTGTCTAATAGTCATGGGGGAGGGAGGGAAACGTAAAGCTATCCAGTAATTATGCGATGCGCTTGGCAAGACTAAAGAATTTAATGAGCCGTAAAAACAGTGCCCAGAACTAATACAGCAGTACGATTCACTGTTACAAGAGCACTTTAAGGACAGAATTTCTGAACGTGCATCTTCACGAATTGGCTTTAAGGTTCATTTCTTGCCAAATCAAGCAGTGATTTCACCAGTCAAGCAGACTACCAAATTTCGTGTCGTCTCGAACTTTAGCGCCAAAACCAGTATTAAACGTAGCCTTAATCATGCCTTATATCGTTGACCAGTTCTGCTTCCACAACTTTACG